GGCTGGTAGTGCACACACAGCTGGCCTCTGCTCCCTCAGGTCCTTCAGTCACCCTCCAAACTCACTCACCACCCTCCTGCAGGAGAGCTCCATGACCACAAAGGACAGAAACTAGCAGGGAGCCCAGCCAAGGTGTGAAGACACAAGTAGTGAGGAGCCAGAAAGAAGGCAGCAGACATAAGGCTACATGCCTGGAACCCAAACACTCAGAAGCTGCCTGAACCACATAGCAAGACTGGTTCAAACGGTAAAGCATGACACGATCCCAAGACGGAAGGGAAAAGTAAATATCTCAGGAGGCTAGATGTTAAAATGACAAGTTAGGACTAAATATAATGCAGTAACAGCCAAAAACATTTCTACTAAGAGAAGGGTTACACTGAAACTCAGTTCCCATGGACTGGGTGAGGAGCCAGAGCCAATGGAATAAACAGCTCCTGCGAGCATCACACCGGAAGACTCCTCTGTCCCCTTCACACCCAGGCTGCTGGCTGCTTCTCACCCTCAAATAAGCCAGTTCTCCCCTCAATGTGCATATTAACCCGTGTCATCCTCCACTGAGTGTTTCCCCTGAACAGGGAGCTGGGGAAGACCCTCAGGTCATGTGTTCACTCAAGTACACAGAATGCAGAAAGAAATAAGAGCCTAACCCACACCCTTGTGTCCCAGGCTCCCCTGCGGGTCTGTCTGCGATGCTCCTCCCTTTAGAGTTCACTCTTCCAAGGTGAGCTTAATCCTCACCTCTGTAAAGCTTTTTCTGCACACCTGCCAACTACAGTACCCTCCCCCAGGTACATTTCCCACCACTAAATAAAAGTGCAGTACCAAGACCCGCTCTCCGCCCCCCCCCCAAAGGTCCTGGCACACAGACCCCCCCCATTGGTGAATAAGCACCCGCCACCCTGACTCAAGGCAAGCATTTCCTCTACTCAAAAACTAAACAGCAGCAAGCATGCGGCACTCCCTGAGGTGAGCTCTGCTGAGCCGTCTCCAGTGTTAGGACACACTGGGGCCATCCTCCAGTTCCCCCACCAATGACCTTTTCTGGCCACCTTGGCAAGGACTGCAGCCCACCCAGGGTAGCTCTAAACCTGGACTCCACCCCAGACAGGATACTCACGGGGCACAGCGCTCCTCCTGTAGGTGTCTCTGTCTGCCTCCCCTCTTGTGAATCTTGCGGGTCGCTCACCCTCTGGACCTACAGAAACAAAACTGCACGTGAGCACAAGGCGGGCGTTGAGCTTTCACTGCAAGCCACCGACTGTGACAGGCTATCAGGCCGGAGCAGCAGCCACGAGCTCCCATGTCTATGGGATCACGTCACTACGTGGTGACCCAAGCCTTTAATCCCAGTGCCTAGAGGCAGAATAAATTCAAGGCCAGCCTGGTCTCCAGAGAATCCCAAAACTAACAAGAAACCAGAGACACACAGCCAGTGACAGTACAGCTCATAAAAGATGCTATGAAATCCTGGGGACCTGAATTGATCCCCAGATCCCCTGGAGGGGAGACCCTCACTCCCCGACATTGCCCCTGCAGGAGGCCTCACCGCAGCTCACTCAGCGCGTTTCCACTTAAACGCAGCTGTTTTCGAGGCAGAGTCTAGCCTGCTTGCCTCTCCTTCCAGGGTGAAAGCAGATTAAAGCTGTTGCACCACACCCAACTACCAAACTTTTCCTTCACTTCTTGATTTTGCGGGGTTCACAAACCCTCACTGTACAGCCCTGACTGTCCTAAAATCCCAACAGCGCCTCTTCCTCCCAAATGCTGGAAATAAAGGCATGCGCCTCCCCTGGTTCTTAACTACCTCAGAGATTCACCCAACTCTGCAGCAGGCGCGCATGGCAGACCAGGTTTCCCCTGGTGGTCTAAAGGTCCAGAGAACTCTTGGGCCCTGAGGACACAGCCCACCCACAGGCTAGAATCCCTCAAGTGTTTGTGTGGGGTCCCTCTCCAGGAAAGCCCAATCCTGTTCAGCAGTCACCTCAGTCACTACAGAGATCAAGACACTGAGCCAGCAGTTCCAAGCACAACACAGAACCACATGTTTCCCCTTGCAAAGGGAAACACAAAACACTTCATTTCCTTTATACACACTGAACAGTTCTACTTTGGGATAAGGACAAGTCACTCGGCACTCTGGACAGGTAGACAATCAGGGAAGGGTGTAGATACGAAAACTACTTGAGTTTACTGCCGTCTCACTCAGTTCAGAGAGTCCAGACACCAATGTTCTCTAAGAGCATTTCTGGGCAGGGAGTGAGGGGAAACACCTGTAAATGCAGCACCTGAGGGGCCTAGACAGGAGGACCAAAACTTATTCAGGAGACCCTAACCCTGCTCACTCTTTAACACACAAAACTCCCACAAGTGATTTTTTTCCTCAAGACAGGGTTTCTCTGTGGCTTTGGAGGCTGTCCTGGAACTCTCCGTAGACCAGGCTGGTCTCAAACTCAGAGATCCGCCTGCCTCTGTCTCCCAAGTGCTGGGATTAAAGGCGTGCACCCCCAACGCCCGGCCACAAAGTGGTTTCTAAGGCTTGTTTGTTATCTGGAATCCATACCTTTGGGCCGGGGCCTGCCAGTTTCGGGACGGCTACGGCGCAGGGTGGCAGGCACGATCTCTGGAGGTAGGTGGAGGTAATCTCGGAGGTACTGGATGCCCTCGTTGGTCAGGTACCAGTAGAAGTGCCTCCACGCAAACTGCTCCTTCACGTAGCCTCGTGACTTCAGAGACTGCGGGGACAGAGAGCCACTGTTAACACACGCCTAGCAGACGGACGTGTGGAGCCGAGCGGCCGGCCACGCAGGGGGGCAGGCAGTTCAGAAAACAGCCCGGCCAGCCCGGCCTCCGTTCCAGTGAGGATCTACCTGGTCACCTCCCTCCAGAGCAGCCTCCGCCCCGTGCGACCCTCGGTACCTGCATGGCCTTCATCACGTGAAGGTTGGGCACGTTCTTGTCTGCCAGCTCGGGGTGCTTGGGCATGTGGACATCTTTCTTGGCGACCATCACCCCTTCCTTAAAGAGGAGCTCATAGATGGCAATGCGGTTCTTCTTGGGCATCAACATCTGCAGGAAAGGAAGACCGTGACCACCAGAAGAACACGGCGGGGCCAGGTGAATCCCCACGCGCACAAGGCAGAGACAGGAAGAGCCCGTGAGCTGGGGGGCGGCTTGGTCTAAGCCCCGGGACAGCCAGGCCCCAGAGACATTCCGTCTCGTAAAACAAAACAGTTCCAACACACACGCTGTCCGCCGCCAGGGTGAAAACCGACGCGGCGGCGCAGCCGTCGGGCAGGCGTGAAGACCATGAACTGCAGAACGGTCCCGGGGCCCCGATCCCCCCGCCCGCCCGGGAAACCGGAAGCAGCGGCGCACCTCTGCCCCGCTGTCACAGCCCGTGTAACGAGCGTCGGGGGAGGCGGGTGGACAGACCCTGATGCGGCGACGCTCGGGGACCGTCAGAGCCCGCGGTCGTTCTCGGGGGGGAATCGGGAGGCTCTTCCCAACGGAAGCCAGGGAAGACCCGCGAAGGGGGCTCTGCTTCCGGATGCGCCCCTAAAGCCCTTCCCCAGACGGGGCGCTCGGGACCCGGAGGGGGCAGGCAGGGGCCAAGGCGCCAAAGAGAGCCGCGCGGGCGGGCGCCGAGCCCCCGGCCTGGGTGCTTCCCGCCGCACGTGGCCTTCGAGTCCGGTCCCCGGCCACCGGGACGCCCCTGTGCGTCCAGCCCGCGTCCCCATCGTCCCGTCCCAGAACTGCGTCCCCGGCCCTGTGGCTACGGAGAGCCGGGCTGCGAGGGGCGCGAGGGAGGCCTCAGGTCTCCCAGCGAGGACGCGGGCCCGCGCCGGCTGCGCCCCGGCCCGGATGGACGCCGATAGACCCAGATCCCGGAGGAACTCACCGCGGCGGCTGTAGGGTCCGAGACGGAGGCCGGAAAGGAAGAGGCGTGCGCGGCGCGGCGTCTCTTCCGGGCTGCGTGGCCCCGCCCCCCTCCAGCAGGACCCGCGCTCCGCCTTGGGTGGCCTCCGCAGTGCCTGAGGACGGCGCCGGGGCGCATGCGCGAGAGGTGTGTGTGTGTGTGTGTGTGTGTGTGTGTGTGTGTGTGTGTGTGTGTGTGTGTGTGTGTGTTTATAGCGCTTGAGTGGGTGGGCTGCAGGCAAGAGGGCAGCGCGCACGCAGAGAGGCGGCGACACATGCATAGTGTCTCGGCGCTCCATACACACCAATCTCCAGGTCACACTCCACGACAGTCTTCCGTGGGTCCATCCAGGCCAGCGTTTCTCAACCTATGTGTCTGGACCGCTCAGGGAGGGGAGCAGCCCTTCCACAGGGTCACCTGTCCCTGCAAATCTGATATTTGACACAATGGTTCACGATAGCAGCAAAATTAGCGATGAAGCAGCAACAGAAACAGTTTTAGTGGTTGGGGGTCACCGCCACACGGGGAACTGTACTGAAGGGTCGCAGCATTATGGAGGCTGAAAACCCCTGACCCAGGCCAAGGAATCTTATATGGCCGGTAACTCCTCAGGTACCCCTTTCTAGTCTCCGCCCTGACTAATGGCAGCAGTGGGCACTGAGTGACACGTTAGACGAGGGTTTGAGAGTCACCCCGGTCCCGTTTCTGCACTCATGAGCTGGGTTGCCACCAAAGCCTGGCTTCTGTAAATACTGCACCCAACTGGAGACCCACACTCTGAGAAAGAGCTCACCCCCGAGGGCCAGGACCCAGACGCAGGATGCCCTGGAAACCTATCATAGAACCAAACAGGAATGGGAAAAAAGAAAGGTCAACAAAATGATTCCCAACGACACTCAGCTAGTCTCACAGAACAGTGCCTAGCCCAATTGTCATCAGAGAAACTCCACCCAGCAACTGATGAGAAGATATCAGAGACCCACAGCCAAACCTTGAGAGGAGCTTGGAGAATACTCTGGAAGGGGGGAGGGAGGACTGTAGGAGGCAGAGGGGTCAAGGACATCGCAAGAAAACCCACAGAATACTTAGCCGGGAAGGGTGACACCAGGATGAAGCGGGTGACTTTCACAGAGCAAGGCCTACCCCCTACCCGTTACACTGAGGGTGTGCCGACCCCTGCGTGCCCCCCAAATGCAGGGAAACTCGACGACATAATTCGTGATAGTGGGGGACTGCGTCTGATCTCTCTCCTTAAAAAAAAAAAATGAAGCTGGGCGTTGGTGGCGCACGCCTTTAATCCCAGCACTTGGGAGGCAGAGGCAGGCGGATCTCTGTGAGTTCCAGGACAGCCTGGTCTGGCGCCCTCTTCTGGCCTGCAGATATACATCCAGACAGAACAACCTCCAAGAAGTGGTGGTGCTTGCCTTAGAAAAGAAAGAAAAAAAAGTAACTCCACGGAATCAACTAACCTGGCGTCATGGGGCTCATGGAGAATGAATCCGCAATGAGAGTGCCTGCACAGGACTGACCTAGGCACTATGCATATAAGCTGCAGTTGTGTAACAGGATTTTCATATGAAATTCCTAACTATGAGAGCAGGGGCCTCTTTTTTATTTTATTTTATTATGTATTATTTTATTTATGTATTGTGTATACAGTTTTCTGCCTGCAGGCCAGCAGAGGGCACCAGATCTCGTTATGGATGGTTGTGAGCCACCATGTGGTTGCCGGGAATTGAACTCAGGACCTCTGGAAGAGCAGTCGGTGCTCTTAACCTCTGAGCCATCTCTCCAGCCCCGTCTCTGCTTCTTTTTTTTTTTTTTTTTTTTTTTTTTTTTTTTTGGTTTTTCGAGACAGGGTTTCTCTGTGGCTTTGGAGGCTGTCCTGGAACTCGCTCTGTAGACCAGGCTGGCCTCGAACTCACAGAGATCCGCCTGCCTCTGCCTCCCGAGTGCTGGGATTAAAGGCGTGTGCCACCAACGCCCGGCTCCGTCTCTGCTTCTTGATGCCTGCTCTTAGGACCCATTCCTCCTACTGGATTGCCTCATCCAGCCTTAGTAGAAGACAAGGTGTCTAGTTTCATTGCAACTTGATATACCATGGCTGGCTGAGAACCTCACCATGGCTGGCTGAGAACCACGAGAGGCCCACTTATGTCTGAAGAGACAGTGGAGGAGGAGTGGATGGGGACATTGTTGAGGGAGGTGAGGGGGAGAGGGGAAACTTGGTTGGAAAGTAAATAATAAATAAAATATATACAAAATAATAGAATTACTAAAAAATGTATTTATAGTTTCAGGCCACTCAAGTTTACACAAGAAATCCTGTCTGAAAGAAAATTGTATTTTAAGCACAGCAATGGGATGGTGGCACACACCTTGAATCCCAGCACTTAGGAAGCAGAGGGAGGCAGATCTCTAGGTTTGAGGTAACCCTGATACAGAATGGCCGCTACACAGAGAAACCTTGTCTCGAAAACCAAAATGAAATAAAGGATGTATTTAAGCCGACCTGGTGGCCGGGATGTAACAGAGCAGCTGAAGCCTGGAACCCAGGACAGAAGGCAAGGACTGGGTTCTCCGGACCCCCGGGGGTCTCCCCAGGCTGGAAATGAGTCAAGATGTCTGGGGTGGGCTTTCCAGTTCCTTCCCTTACTTCCTAGGTCTTTAAATCCAATCCTCTGCCAGGTCAGTGGCCGGAGGCGGCTGGGGGAGCAGCGCCCCCTAGGGCATCACCCTGGCGGCGCAGCTGCTCTCTAGGAGCCCGGATGCCGCGGATGCAGCAGACCTTCTTCCCCGCAAACAATAACCCAGATAGAACTCAGCAGACGCCCTGGGCTTCACCTCTTCGCACATCGCCCTTCCTTCACACGCCGAGAATAGCTCTGCAAGCCTGGAGCGCGTCGCCTCTTCCCACCCACACAGAGGCTCCCAGGAAGCGCCATCTGTGCCGCGAGGCCCCGTTAGAGCTCCCCGGCGCAGGAGGTTGTGGCAGGGGGTCGTCCGCGGCGTAGACGGTGCCTGATAGGCTCCCAGCACACGCGCGCACCCACGCACGCAGGCCTCGTCCGCACCTGGGGCGTGGGGGCGACGCTCTGACTTGTCTGCACGGTGTCTGGTGGTCCCCTCCGACCAGGAGAGCCAGGCAGGGTGGACTCTGCAGGCGACCACACCTTTGCCTCTGCCCTCACCTGCCTGGTGTCACTGTCCCCACGACAGACCCCGTGCCAGGGTGAGAAAAGCAGAGCCAGGAAACGGCCCCAATTTACAGCCTGCCGGGTCGTTTGTCTTGAGTCCTGGATTCTGTGAGTGAGTGAGTGATGATTTTGTAAGCAGTCTCTTTTGCCTGGGTCTAGCCTGGAACTCTCCATGTAGACTAGGCTGGCCTTAAACTCACAGAGATCTACCTGCTTCTGCCTCCCGAGGCTTGTGCCACCGGGCTCGAATCTGGTTCGTTTTTGAGACAATTAATACATAGTCCAGGCTGTCCTCAAATCCGTGACCCTCTAGCCTCTGCTTCCTGAATACGGGTATTGCAGGCACATGTGACCACCCTGGGCTTTAAAACTGACCATCTTATGACCAGTGAGAGGAGAGGTTGGGTGGGTAATGGCTGAAGCTGACAGCCCCGACAGGAGAAGAGGGGGGTAGGGTGTGCTGGTCCACGGAGGCCATCTCTATTTCTGATAATTTTTTTTAAGATTTATTAATTAGGTATAGAGTGTTCTGTTTCCATGTATGCCTGCAGGCCAGAAGAGGGCAGCAGATCTCATTACAGATGACTGTGAGCCACCATGTGGGTGCTGGGAATTGAACTCAGGACCTCTTGAATAACCCCTGAACCAGCTCTCCAGCCCCTTTTCTATTAATTCCTTAGTGATCTTCTTTTTTTTTTTTTTTTTGGTTTTTCGAGACAGGGTTTCTCTGTGGCTTTGGAGGCTGTCCTGGAACTCGCCCTTAGTGTCCTTTTTAAGGGGCTGGAGAGATGCCTCATTGGTTAAGGACACTTGCTGCTCTTCCAGAGGAGCCGAATTCAGTTTCCAGCATCCATCCAGGCTACTCAGAACCGCCTATAAGTCCAGCTCCAGAGAATCTGCTACCCTGGCATGCTAGCATGTCTGCACACATGTAGCACACACACACATACACATGCACAATAACTTTAAATTACCTTTTGAGATGTGTAATTCAGAGGACTAAGGACATTCATGGTCATCTCTAGAATTTTCATCATGAAAACTGGAGTTCTGTTATATAACAGAAGGCGCCAGATTCTGGAGTTTGGAGGATGGCAGGACATGGCTGTAATAGTAAACCAGACATTCTTTAGCAGACACCCTAGGCCTCACCTCTCCCCAACTCCCTGTAGCCCCTTCATTTGAGAGGTGGCTGCAGGCCTGTGTCAGTTACATAGTGAGTTCCAGACCCAACCTGTGTTATATGGGACCTTATCTCAAAAATATAAAACAACAAAACAAAGCACCCTAAAACTAAAATAGAACTTGGGGGGATCTAGATGTGCTGGGTAGGAACTGAGGTGGAAGATGGAACATTCTAGGCCAGCCTGGGCTACAAAGAGAGATGCCCCCTCATCAAAACACATACAAACCAACCCCAGTGGAGGCTTCTGTCCCTATTCTATAGCTACGAGCAAATCAAGGCCCCACTCACACTCCAGACAGATGCTCACTGGAGTCACTTAGGGAGTGTTGAGTGTGCCAGGCAATTAGGGAGTGAGTGTTGAGTGTGACAAGCACTTAGGGAGTGAGTGTTGAGTGTGACAGGCACTTAGGGAGTGGGTGTTGAGTGTGCCAGGCAATTAGGGAGTGAGTGTTGAGTGTGCCAGGCAATTAGGGAGTGGGTGTTGAGTGTGCCAGGCACTTAGGAAGTGGGTGTTGAGTGTGCCAGGCACTTAGGGAGTGTTGAGTGTGCCAGGCACTTAGGGAGTGTTGAGTGTGCCATCACGCCTCTTCCTTTTGTTTTTGAGGCTGGGTCTCCTGCGGAAGAATCACTCTGTACACTGTGAATATGTATTACCCTAACTCTGTACGCTGTGTATTACTCTCACTGGCTAATAAGAAGCTGACAGACCAGTAGACAGGCAGGAAATTAGGAGGGAGAGCCAAACTGAGGATGATGGGGAGAAGCGCCCAGTCAGAGGGCACAGGGAGGAACGTGCCCCACTAATAAGGTACTGCCATGAGGCAAAGCATCCATAATGAACGTGGGCTAACTTATAATGTAAGAACTAGATGCCGGGTGTGGTGCCCGCCTTTAATCCCAGCACTGGAGATGCAGAGACAGCAGATCTCTTTGAGTTCAATGTCACCCTGCTCTACAGAGCTAGTTCCAGGACAGCTGGGGCTGTTACACAAAGAAACCCTGTCTCAAAAACTAAAAGCAAACAAACAAAAATAAGTCAAACAAAAATGTAAGAGCAAGTTAGTAATAAGCCTGGGCTATTGGCTGAGCATTTATAACTTCTATTAAGCCTCCCAGTGATTATTTGTGAGTAGGTGATTGGGACAGTGTCTTACTACATAAACTGACGAGATTGGCCTTGAACTCAGAGATCTCTGGCTCCTGAGAGCTGGGTTTAAAGGAGCTTGCCCCCACACCTGGGTACTCAAGGCCTTCTGTTAAGGTTTTGTTTTATTTTTTATTTTGTTTTGGTTTTTGAGACAGGGTTTCTCTGTGTAGCCCTGGCTGTCCTGGCACATGCTCTGTAGACCAGGCTGGTCCCAAACTCACAGAGATCCGCCTGCCTCTGCCTCCGGAGTGCTGGGATTAAAGGCGTGTGCCACCAATGCCCAACTGTTTTGTTGGTTTTTGTTTTTGTTTTTGTTTTGTTTTGTTTTGTTTTGAGGTAGAGTCAGACGTAATCCAGACCTGGCCTGAACTCACCCGAGGATGACCTTGCTTTGTCTTCACAGATTTATTTATGGCACTCACACATGAGTGTGGTGGCACGTCTGGAGGGCAGAGGACAACTGTCTGCAGCCAGGGCTCCCCTCCCCCATGGGGCATTGGGGACAGACTGAGACCAGATGATCTGCACTGCAAGTGCCTTCACGGGGTGGCGTGTCTCTCTCTCTCTCTCTCTCTCTCTCTCTCTCCCTCCTCTCTTTCTCTCTCTCTCTCTGTTTCTCTCTCTGTCTCTCTGTCTCTCTCTGTCCCACATATAGGCACTTCTCAGATGCAGTAAAGGAACCGGGGCTGGCCTTGAACTCTGAGGACGACCTTGTTCTTCAGC